TTATTAGCAAGTGGGAACGACCAATATGGCCGCCATCTATTCAAATGGGGGTAACCGCTGGAATATTCTTGGCTTCATTTTTAATAAAAGAGATGCGCTATCTAGTGTATATAAGATATCTATGAATGTCACAGGCAACAACAAAATCCGCCCCCTAGTGTAATAACTTAATGTGTAATTATAATTGTTAATTATTCAGTAACGTATTGCTAACACGTAAACATGTAATCATATATTCATAGTACCTGAGTGTAAAGACATTTAGATTAATAAAGCATGCATGTGCACAGCACAACATTGACGACGAGGATAAATCGAAATTTCAGTGTATTTGATCCCAAAAAATAACGAGAATAAAGTGCAATAAACAAGAATATGAACCACGGAGAAATCGCTGAAGCCCAGTCAAGTACAAGCGCTGTAGGAGCAACACAAAATGCAGCCGTGACCATAATAAATCGACACTTAAATATCGGCTCATTTCAGTTGACGAGAGACAGCAACGATACAGCCGTTCGTTGGGCCAAATGGAAGCAGAATATCGAGCGACAATTCAGAATTTTCGGTATCGAAGAGCGAAGGGAGAATTCTCAATATCAACGTCGCGACAATAAATCAGAGAGAAGAGAAACAAAAAGCCGCCAATACTCGAAGCCAGACGACCAAAGCAACTATAATTAAACCAGAGCACAGAAAACCAAATATTCGACACGTCGAGAGGACGGGGGAGGAGAGCTCGAGTATCAGTTCTAGTGACAGCTCGAACAACGAAGACTTCATCCAACACCTTCGAATCAGACAAACAACTCGATTGAATGCCAAGAAAATTTCTAAATCGTGTACAGTAATGATCAATGATGTGGCAACAGAAATTGAACCGGACACGGGATCGGATGCAAATATAATGGATGAAGAGCAATTTGATCGACTCCAGAAAGCGAGATCTGAAATACGGCTGAAGAAATCCAGAACAAAGCTGCCAGCACTTCTTCAAGACATCCCGGTACTAGGGGAATGCTCTGTGACCATCAGAAACCAAACGAGGCAGACACGAACACGCATTATCGTTATTAGGGGCAAAATGGATTCTTTGCCACTGATCGGAAGACCCACCTTATCCAATTTAGGCATGGTTCTCATCGACGAGACTGGAAACTTAGAAAACTCCAGGAAAAAAGATACACACAAAGTAAAGAAAGCAGACGCAACCTACCCAAAACTTGAAGAAATCCTTGGAAAGTATGAAGGAAGATTCCACGGAGTAGGAAAGGCGGAAAGAGACGGAAAAGTTATTGATATCCATTTACCCATGAATGAGGATGCGACACCGATAGCTCAGAAACCAAGACGGGTGCCGTATCACTTACTAGAGCCTCTGGAGCAGCGCATTAACGAATTCATCGAAAGTGACATCATAGAGAAGGTCCCCGAACAAGAAGCAATCGGGTGGTGTTCACCTCTCGTGGTACAACCGAAAGCGAAGAATCCTAAGGACATCCAAGTGAGTCTCGATCTCCGAATTCTAAATCAGTCTATGGCACGCACAAGGCACGTACAATCACCCATCACCGAAGACTTTGTAAACGAATTTAAGGACTGCACAGTCTTCAGTAAAATCGACCTGAACCACGGATACCATCAATTCGCGCTCGATGAAGAATCTAGAAAGATAATGACATTCTCAACGCCCTGGGGGAACTATAGATACAAAAGACTTGCATTCGGTGGCAAGAACAGCAAGATCTTTTTGATGCGGAGATCGCAAAGATAATCTCGGGCATACCTCATGTCTTAAACAACCGCGACGACATCATGGTCGGAGGTAAAGATTGGGAAGAACACAATCGGAACCTGGAAACACTATTCGAACGACTCACAATCCACAACATAACGCTTCGAAAGGAGAAATGTGAATTCGGTCGAACATCGCTAGAATTCCATGGTCATTACTTCACCAGCGAAGGGCTGAGACCAAGTCCTAACAAGATCAGAGCCATCCAGGAAATGGAAAGACCGAAAAGTAAAGAAGAGTTGGTATCGTTTATCCAAATGATGACATATCTGTCCCGATTCATCGAAAATTTCTCCAGCAGGTCAGAACCACTTAGGCGGATAACGAGCAACGAAATGGAATCAAGAGCAACAGATGACGTTCGATGATCTGAGAAATGCAATGACAAGAGCACCTGTACTCGTACCATACCACACCGGAAGGAAGATCCTTATTATCTGCGATGCAAGTCCAGTCGGTCTCGGAGGCGGATTATTCCAAAAGACAGCCCATGGGTATCAACCAATCCATTATGTGAGTAGAACACTGACATGACAGAGACTGAACGAAAGTATGCCCAAATTGAACGAGAAGCCCTTGCGGTAGAATTCTCAACAAACCGACTGCAAATGTACCTTGCTGGGTCACAACAATTCCAGATAGCGACGGATCATAAACCGTTATTACCAATCTTCAATAGCCCAAATGCGAAACTACCACCAAGACTGGAACGGTTAAGGATGAAGACACAGCATTTAGATTTTGTTATGATACACATACCAGGGGAATCGAACATGACCGGCTACCTATCCCGTCACCCACTACCAGATATCGAAGAGACACATTTAGAACACCATGTAAGAGCTGTGATCGCAACCGAACATGCCGTTGTATTAGATAAGATACGTGAAGAAACTAGCAACGACAACGAGTTACAAGGACTCATTCAGGTAATCAGAACTGGTAATTGGGAAAACACAGCCATGGACTTGAAACAATATTACGATATGAGAACGGAGATATATGAAGCAGACGGAGTAGTACTTCGAGGTGAGAGGATCATCCCTCCCAACGCGGTGCGGAAGAAAATAATCAGTGTTGCGCACAAGCAAGGCCATCTTGGCAGCAGCAAGACGAAGGAAATGATCCGAAACAAGTATTGGTTTCCCTCGATGAATATTCAGATCGAGAATATTGTACAAGCCTGCTTTAGCTGTCAGATAGCAACAAATACGTTCCACACTGAACCGGCGAAAATGACAAAGATCCCGCAACAACCATGGGAAGTTGTTGAACTTGACTTTTGCGGACCGTTTCCTAATGGAGAATATGCCATGGTACTTACAGATCAATTTTCTCGCTACCCAGAAGTCGAATTCACCCGCTCGATAGCAATTGCACCGGTGAGAGAGAGGTTGAAGAAAGTATTCGCAATGCACGGAGTCCCAAAAGTTGTTCAAACGGACAATGGACCACCATTTAATTCACGCGAATTCAAGCAACTTGCTGATGAAATGGGATTCACCCATAAATCTGTCACGCCGTACCATCCAAAAGCACAAGGGCAGGTGGAAAACTTCAACAAATTAATTAACAAGGTCGCCGCAATTTCAAAACAAGATCACACCAACTTCCACGAAGCAACATATGATATGCTTCAAGCCTACCGAAGCACACCACACCCCGCAACCAAAACCACACCATACGAGCTGTTAATGAAACGACAAGTTAGAACGAAATTGGACCATTTTCCCACGGAAACATCACCAAAGGATGACGCCGTGAGACGTAACGATCAGCAATACAAAGAGAAAGCAAAGAGAAATCATGATAAACGACATCGATCGAAGGAATACGAATTGAAGACCGGAGACGCAGTGATCGTTAAACGAGAAAAGAAGAATAAAGGAGAAACTCCATACGAACCGTACATTTATGTTATAACCAAAATCAAAGGCTCGATGGTAACAGCGAGAAGGATGAAGGATGAGAAGACGAAATGTAGAGATAGATCACGATTCAAGCTGCTAAGAATGAATAAGCATCACCCAGAAGAACAGCAACGAAGACCAGCAACCCAAATTCCACCAGCAACCGAAATAACCGCAACTACAACCCAGCCAGAACCCTTGAATGTTGAATTAGAAACCCATAGCCAACCAGAAACCATCAGACAGGAAGAGCCACGAGAACTGCGAAGATCTAGAAGGAAGAAGACATCAACATTCGAGACACATTTAAAGGCTATATCAGAAACACTATGCGAACATCAAGATATTGTTAGATAAGTTAAAAACATTATAAAAAAATAAACGAACACTTTAGAGTTAGAACTTATTAACTGATAGGGAAGGAGATGTAATAACTTAATGTGTAATTATAATTATTAATTATTCAGTAACGTATTGCTAACACGTAAACATGTAATCATATATTCATAGTACCTGAGTGTAAAGACATTTAGATTAATAAAGCATGCATGTGCACAGCACAACAGTAGGAATCAATGAAACTGTGATGTATGGCAGAAGTCTTAGTGGTGATGGTGATTGTGGTGGAGATGGTAGTGATGATGGTGATAATAGTGGTAGTGATGGTGAGTGGTGATTGTGGTGGTAATGATGGTGGTGGCAATGCCGACAGAAGTGGTGTAGTGATGATGGTGATGATAGTGATGATGGTAGTGATGATGATGGTGGTGATAATGATGGTAGTGAAGATGATGCTAGTGATAATGATGCTGGTGATGATGGTAGTCACTGGTAATGATGATGATGGTGGTGATGATGATGGTATAGAGATAATGATGGTAGAGATAATGATGGTGGTAGTGATGATGATGACAATGGTGGTAGTTATGGCGGCGATGATGGTGGTAGCGATAATAACAATGATGGTACTGTAATAGTGATGTTGGCATGCAATAATGATGATGATGATGGTGGTGGTGCAGGTAGTTCTGGTGGCGATGATGATGATGGTAGTAGCAATGGTGGTGATAATGTAAATGATGATGGTGGTGGTAGTGATGGTGGTGATGGTGTTGGTGATAATGATGGCGTTGGTGATGATGATGGTGGCAGGCCTCTAAATAAATCTGGATGTTATACCAGTCATTATGACAGGTGGATCACTAAATTTACCGGTCACAGCGGAATTTATGCCGGTCGTTGTCACTCCTTAGCTTCTTTTTCCCCCTCATCTTTGGCGTGACTCGTAACTTTAGAAACAATTGTGTATTTTAATTATTGTATACATAGTAGAAGTATGCATGGCGTTTATCAAATCGCAAGGCGTTTATCAAAAAGCAATTTACCATGAATATTTCGTATTTGGACGCTGACAAACAGAGCAATTGTTTACCATGCTTGCTTGTTAAGTCGCAAATGACAACTGTAGTTGCGAACTTGCGAGCATGCTGCAAGGTCGCATTCGAGTTACGCGTTTTCACGCACGTAACAGTTGAAATCGCTTTACATCCTACTTATGAAATAACTAAATTTATAAAAGGACAGCATTCAGTTTTGTGTATGATTTAATATGTATTTGTAAGGTTATAACTTATTTGCAATAATATGAAAGATTTAAACTTTTCTGTCGCAGGTGTGAAAAACGTGTAACATGAAAACAGCCCTTAGGCACAATGCTTGCGGTAAATCGTATCCGTACGACAAAGTGTGTCACTTCGCCGCCCTCATTAGCCTGCGCCTTAGACGGACATACACTTCTTTGGAAACTTGGAAATCAATAATCTGCTCCATTTTTGAACGTAGTTTTTATTAAAAAATTTACCGGTCACACATGTCCGCCAGATGCCGGACGATTTTTGCCGGTCAAACTGTGAAATTTTACCGGTCAGTGACCGGTGACCGGCACTTATCTCGAGGCCTGGATGGTGGTGATAATGATGATGATGGTGGTGATGATGATGATGGTGATAATGGTGTTGGTGATAATGATGGTGATAATGATGATGGTGGTGATAATGATGATGGTGATAATGATGATGGTGGTGATAATGATGGTGGTGATAATGATGGTGATAATGATGGTGTTGGTGATGATGATGGTGGTGATAATGATGATGGTGATGATAATGATGATGGTGGTGATAATGATGATGGTGGTAATAATGATGATGATGGTGGTGGTAATGATGATGGTGGTGGTAATAATGATGATGGTGTGTGTTAACGAACGATATTATTATATGAAGTACTTGTTATCATGACCGCTGAAATAGTCGCGCGGGCGACAAAACGTTGTTTGAACGTTCTAGTTTATATTTTTCGACTACAAAAAGTGTGACAATATTTAGGCTATTTTTTGTGTTTAAAGACTCGGAATAAAGTGGCGAATTATCTCGTGTAGACATTTTATAGACAGTTCAATTAATCGGGAACAAGTTTGGTCCTTCGACAGCCGGATCTGCTGACGAAATAACGAGAAATTCGCGACTTTTGTTGTGAATGTGCGAGCAAATATGGCGCTTAGTACGAGTGGACAACAACAAGACTTGCTGGGAGAAGAGACAGACCAAGGTGTTGAAGCTGTAAACAGTATTCAAAACGTTCATCTCGCCGACCACGAAAGTAAAAAAGAAGAAAATACATTGAATATAGAAAGCAAACAAGTGAGTACCAAGATTCAAATTTTACGAAGTAGTAAAAAATCGGCTAAAACCAGGCTGACAAAAGCTAAGAAACAATTGAACGACCTAATCGAGAAACAACTTCCTGGTGTACCATTGCCGAGTAAAAATGCCATAAGAAGAGCTATTAATAAAGTTAATTCCGAGATCAGTATTATTGAAAAAATTATTTCTGGCTTAAAAGAGATTTATGCTGTGAGTGCTGAAAATGAGGAGACCAACACAGTTATCGAGACTTTAGACAAAGAACTTGAAGACATCGGGTCTTCAGTCGATTCAATAATTGTAATGGCTGAACAACATCTCGAGGAAAGACTTGGCAATGGAGAAACTGACTCAGTGTTAACTTCACTTCGATCACAAGAAACTAGTCCCCAGTCTCCAGTTATGTCGAAAAAATCCTCAAATGTGGAACAGAAACAAAAAGAGGCAAAGGAGGCTAGTGAAAGGCTAATCCAAATGGAAAACGAACAGCGAGTAAAGGAGCTAGAGATCCAAAAGCTGACCGCTGAGCTGCAGCTGACAAAACAGCGAACCGATGATGCAAGGAAAGTTGCTGCTCTCAACAAATCCCGGGCTGAAGAAGCCGAACGAAGATCGCAAGTATCGGATAATGATACAGTACAGAACTTCCTTATTAACCGTCACTTAGAAAAACATTCAGAGCTACCCAATGAAAACAAAGAACATAGACAGACATTTTCTCCCATTAGACTTAAAGGAGTGGATCTCCCTATCTTCTCTGGCGAAGAAAAAAGTGACTATGAATCCTGGAAGGCAGCATTCCTGTCTGTTGTCGATCGTCGTGATATTCCTGTCGGAGAAAAAATGCTTAGACTACAAGGCTGTTTGTCGGGTAAAGCTTTAACCATGGTGAAAGATCTTGGGTATTCCCTTAGTGCGTATGAAAGAGCGAAGGCTAAATTGGAGAAGAAGTACGGAGGGGAGAGACGTTTACAGATAAAACACCTAACAGCTTTGCGCAATTTCCGGAAAATTCGTCCTCGAAATCTGGAAGATATGGAAGAGTTTCAAGTTCTATTAGAAAGAGTATTGATCGCCACTCAGGACTCAGGACCATTGCATGGACAGAGCTTGAATTTAACAGCTAAAGAGAAACTACCAGAAGAAGACGTGCAAGCTTACAAATATTGGCTGATGGACCACTCGCGTGAAGACAATTTTGAAGCACTTGAAGAATGGGTTGAATTACGAGTGCAAGTTATGGAAGAGGCGAAAGAAGAAACGAATGGCATTGGAAAAAAGACGGACAACCGTGTTGAACAGAAGAAACGCTTTCGAGGCTTCAATACTAGATCCACCACGCGATGTTGTATTGTTCCAAACTGTAAAGAGGATCACCCCCCGTGGGTTTGTAAAGCTTTCAAAGATCTACCCGTCCTAAAGAGAAAAGAATTAATTACTAAGGCTGGACGCTGTTATTGTTGTCTGGCTGCTGGACATCGAAGCAAAGATTGCACCAAAAGGAGACAATGTGGTGTTGATGGGTGCCTGAGTAAAGGCCACAGCAGTTACCTTCATGTAAGCCCTCCAAAACACAAGGACGACGTGGGAGGACACTTACGACCTGATGCACCGACATACGTTCCCCCAGGACAATCGAACCAAAATAGAGAGGCTCCTCGTAATGATAAGACACGTGATGACAATCTGCCACCAACCAATTTCCAGCCCCAAGAAAGAACACATAATACAACTAAAGTAGAGAACGTCTCTTTAATGGTAATACCTGCCCTGATTAGTAATGGAAACAGAGAGTTAAAGGTCAATGTAATGCTTGACCCCTGTTCGACCAGTTCCTATGTATCAGAGGAAGCAGCAGAAGAGCTTGAGTTGCATGGACAAAACGTAAACCTTACGATTGCAGGAACAGGGGGCATCGAGATCCAGAAAAGATCCCGCCGAGTGGAACTAAATGTGACTAGTCTAGATAGGTCATTTACGACACCTGTCCAAGCACATGTGTTAGATAACATTGCGAGCGACACACCAGCCATACAGTGGTCAGAACTCAAGGAAAAGTGGCCTCACCTGCAGAAGATCCCTTTCGACAATGTTTCCAGGCGACAGCAGATTGATGTCATGCTTGGCAGCGATAATCCAGTATTCCACTACGTATTAGAAGAGATTCGCGGCAGCCAACCAAGTGATCCCGTAGCACGCCTAACGAACTTGGGCTGGGTTTGTTTCGGGCCAACGTTGGTCAACGAGTTTCGGCGTAACTCTCGTTCCCACTTCACACGCACGTACCGTACCTGCCATGTCGACCAGCAACCACCACCGGACGACATTCTACGCAAGTTCTGGGAGCTTGAGGCACTCGGAATCAAAGAAACGTCTGAGAAACAGGCTATGACAGCCGACGAAAGAGCAGCAACTGCAACTGTAGCTGGATCCCTAAAGTTTGAGAATGGTTTGTACGAGGTAGGAATCCCTTGGAAGGACGGAGAGCCGAAGTTGACTAACAATTACGAAGCGGCGTTATTAAGACTCCAAAGTCAAGAGAAATCCCTCAGAAAGAAAGATCCTAGCATCCTGGAAGCCTACAGTAAAGTATTCAAGGACTATGAGAAAAAAGGCTACATTCAGAAAGTACCCAAGTCCGAAGTAGAACAGCAGTGGTTCCTCCCACATTTTCCGGTCATTAAGCCAAGCAAAGATACGACTAAAGTTCGTGTTGTCTTCGACGCGGCAATGAAGCATGACGGAAAGAGCTTAAATGACAGCATACGGCCAGGTCCGAAACTACAACGAGAAATAGTAGATGTTCTCACCCGCTTTCGTCGAGCACCAGTTGCTTTGAGCGCGGACATTTCTGAAATGTTCCTGCAAGTTGGTCTACAAGACAAAGATCGTCCCTTCCACAGATTCTTATGGCGAGATTTCGATCCTTCAAAAGAGCCCGACGTATACGAGTTTCGACGCCTGTTGTTTGGTAATACTGCCTCGCCATTCTGCGCACAGTATGTAATACACGCCCACGCTCAAGCACATACAGAGACATTCCCAGCGGCAGCAGAATCGGTCGATAACTCGATGTATGTTGACGATGTCTTAGATTCAAGCGAGACTATAGAGAGTGCCCAGGATCTGCGACGCCAGTTATCTGACCTGTTGGGTCTAGCAGGTTTTCGGCTGCGGAAATGGTCGTCGAACGAGCCATCAGTTGTCGCAAGCATCCCCGAGAGTGACCGGTTATCTGCTGTTGAAATTAACAAAGAAGAGCCGTCTAAAACCAAGACTCTGGGAGTCTTGTGGGATCCTGAAAGAGATGTATTTACCTTCAGAGTGGAACCTCCTGATGCGAATAAAACCCCTACGAAACGTAATGTTCTGAGCGCCATAGCTGCTGTATACGACCCCCTTCAGTTTCTCTCGCCATTCCTTGTTCGGGCTAAAATTCTCATGCAGGAGATTTGGAGAGCAGGGTTGGATTGGGATGACAACCTTCCAAGTGATCTAGCAACTAAGTGGAAGAACTGGGCTACAGAACTTTCGCAGTTATCGCATGTCGCCATACCACGCTGCTTACGCCTCGCAAACCCGAATAAAATGGAACTACACCTGTTCTCGGATGCCTCTAAAGACGCCTACGCATCAGTCGCTTATTTGGTGTGCCAATATGAAGACGATAGCCCTACATCACGCCTTGTCGCATCAAAGTGCCGTGTAGCCCCCACCAAAGCGATGACGATTCCCAGACTGGAGCTTATGGGTGCCATTCTCTCAAGCCGTTTAGCTCAAAGTCTTCTGAAAGTCTTGACTGTCGATCGAGTGATATTTTGGACTGACTCCGAGAATGTGTGGTATTGGGTACGAAACCACAGCCGGCAGTTTAAACCCTTCGTAGCCAACCGTATCGCAGAAATTCAACGGACGACGAGTCCCGAGCAATGGAGGCATGTACCTGGGATACAGAATCCAGCAGATCTAGCGACCCGAGGTCAATCTGCTATGGAACTAGCCAAAAGCACATTTTGGTTGGAAGGACCATCGTTCTTGAAAGATGTCGAGATCTCGGGGCCATCAGCGCCTTCCGTTAGAGAGGAGACGAAAGTTGAAGATATTGAAAAGACAGTGGCACAGACGTACATGGTCCAGGCGCGCGTTAACCTGGGTGTTGATCCAAACCATTTTTCTACCTTCCGTCGCCTTTGTCGTGTGACTGGATGGGTTCAACGATTCGTTACAAACTGCAGACTTCCAAGGGAATTACGAAAACGAGACAGAACGCTTTGTTCAACTGAAATACTTAATGTGGAAAAGTGGTGGATCAAACAAGCGCAACGAGAAGCTTTCCCGAAAGGAGAGCGAGAAGGATGTTTACTGCGACTTAGTCCAAAGAACGGTGACGATGGTCTTCTGAGGATGGACGGACGTTTAAGACTTGCGGATGAACTATCCTACAACACAAAACACCCCATTTTATTGCCAAAAGAGCACGTGGTGACCCGACTCATCATCAAGGATGCACATGAAGAACTCGGACATGGTTCCGGAGTTGAGCAGGTTCTAACACTGCTACGCAGTCGTTTCTGGATCGTAAAAGGAAGACGCGCGGTAAGGAATATCGTTGAGTCATGTGCGCAATGTCGACGACGTTTTTCTGTAAAAACAGCCGAGCAGAAGATGGCACCGCTGCCCAGACCGCGACTTCAATCGTTACGAGCTTTCGAAAGAGTCGGAGTGGATTATGGAGGCCCATTTCTAACGAAGCAAGGACGAGGCAAAGCCAAAGCAAAGAGATACCTATGCCTATTTACTTGTCTAGCGACAAGGGCTGTTCACCTTGAGATGTCATACTCATTAGACACGGCTTCCTTCATCAATGCCTTTACGCGAATGGTATCGAGGAGGGGGACGCCCGTATATGTTATATCGGACAATGGGACCAATTTCGTGGGCGCAGAGCGGGAGATGAGAGAATTAGTTCAAGCTTTTAACCAGGACAAAATTGCCCAAGAAACCACCAAGTATCAACCTATTGAATGGAAATTCAATCCTCCATCGGCCCCTCATTTTGGAGGGATTTTCGAGGCTATGATAAAGAGCGCCAAGAAGGCAATAAAAATCGTCCTAGGAGATGCAGATGTGACGGATGAAGAACTTCAGACCGCAATGTGTGGAGCTGAAAGATTGGTAAACTCACGGCCCATCACTTATGTGAGTTCAGATCCAAACGACCCGTCCCCACTTACTCCAAATCATTTTATAGTCGGACAGATCGGTGGGGTATTTGCTCCTGAAGCTCTTGATCAAGTTGAAGCGAACAACCCTAGGAATCGCTGGCATCGAGTACAACAATTGTTACAGCTGTTCTGGAAGCGCTGGAGAAAGGAGTTCCTTCCACGTCTTAATGTAAGCAAGAAATGGTTTCATCCCAAACATAACCTGAAACAAGGCGATGTGGTATTGATTGCTGAACCCAAAGCAAGTAGGGGAGAATGGCCTCTTGCCCGTGTGATCGAAGCGTATCAAGGAAGTGACGGCCTAGTCCGAGTTGTAAAGGTGAAATCCAGGAACAAAGAATATTTCCGTCCTATACATCGATTGTGTCCTCCTCTCGAGTATGTTGACGAACATTCGGACAATGAAGATAGATAACTGAAACGTTATATAGAAGTGAACATAAAGGACGTTAATTAAGTCGTATTTGTTAGTATTCATTGACATTGCTAATCCCTCTATTTATTGTCTTTAAGTGGAATCGAATGCGTTGCATTCGGGAGGGGGATGTTAACGAACGATATTATTATATGAAGTACTTGTTATCATGACCGCTGAAATAGTCGCGCGGGCGACAAAACGTTGTTTGAACGTTCTAGTTTATATTTTTCGACTACAAAAAGTACTAGTGTGACAATATTTAGGCTATTTTTTGTGTTTAAAGACTCGGAATAAAGTGGCGAATTATCTCGTGTAGACATTTTATAGACAGTTCAATTAATCGGGAACAGTGTGATACTGATGATGGTGGTGATAATGATGGTGGTGGTGATAATGATGATAATGATGATGATGGTGGTAATAATGATGATGGTGGTGATAATGATGATGGTGGTGATAATGATGATGGTGGTGGTGATCATCTGAGCAATGGTGGCGATGATGGTGGCGGTAGTGATAGTGGTAGTGATGGTGGTGATGATGGTGGTGATCATGACAGTGGCAGTAGTGAGTGATGATGGTGCTGATGATGATTATGGTGGTGGTAGTGCTGGTAATGATTATGGTGGTGCTGATGATTATAGTGGTGGTAGTGATGGTGGTGAAGATGATAACGAGAATGGTAGTAGTGATGGTGGTAACATTTTATTAATAAATTTACCGGTCACACATGTCCGCCAGGCGACGATTTTTGCCGGTCAAACTGTGAAATTTTACAGGTCAGTGACCGGTGACCGGCACTTATCTCGAGGCCTGGATGGTGGTGATGATG